ATTTTTTAACCCATTCAGTACTCTTGACATACTGTAAAAGTCTTTAAAAGACTTTACACATCCATATATATTCACTCTCTATTATTAAAATTTTTTTAAAGTTTGGTCAGCTTTTATTGTGAAGTCCTTTATAGTAAACACAACTGTGATTTGATGCCGGATACAAGGATACAAGGACACAAGGACACAAACAGCTTAAGCAACAATGTATAATTAATACTGTTCAAAATATACTCTTAAACATAGGATTCAACACATTATCAATCCTTTAAAATTGTATTTGAGTTCTAGAAATCATCTCAAGACACCTCGCTTGTTCAAGGTTCCTTACGGTCATTCGCATCGCATGTGGTGCATGAGGTGGAACGAAATCGTGCACACAGGGTCCCAGTTACAGCCAACGAAAATAAATTGTAAAATAAACTGTAATAGGATTCTAAGATATAGCTCTATATAGATATATAGATTCATGACCTACATTGGTGTCCCGATGCTAACTTTAGGAACCACTCCGCGAACACAGGAAGCAGATGTCTGAGCTGTGGGAGTAGAGCCCTGAACTGGGAAACAGGCGCTAACAAAGGCACCAAATGGGCATTTTGAGCTAAAACTCTCAAATTCATTTGCATTTATTCATTCCTTTTCTTTAATCATGGCAGTAAAGCTGAGCTCACCCATGACCATAGTTTCCACCTTATGATCATTTCAAAATAAGAGAGCTGTGGTGGCTTGATAAGGAGGTGCCATGGACTTTTAGTATTAAAGCTGCAGGTTCACAAACTGTCCCAGGTTGAGTCAGGAAGGACTTGCAGCTTAAAACACTTGGTCAAATATTTTGTGTGACTTTTCACAAAAGACTTAAAAGAGTTTAAGAGAAAAACGACAACAATCCTTTCAAAATAAACTACAATGGCAGAAACATGCCGAGATTCTCACAGTTGTTTACTCCTTTCTTTATTTGGGAGGGGGGCAGTACATGTCAGAAAAAGCACCCCAAATAGAAAAGCAATGTTAGGTACAAACTTTTGCCCCTTTTCCACCGTCATGGCGCGGGTCGGATATTTCCGGCTTGAAGCGCGTTTGAGGTCTTTCCACTGTTCCTGTGACCGGCTCGCCTCGCTAAATTCTGGCCCGGCTTCTCAAGGGTTCCGAGCGAGCCGCGCCGTGACGTCAGAAACACTGTCGGTCACTGATTGGTCGGGGGGGAGGAGTCTGTGGAGTCTTTCCAAACAACCCGATCCACCATTTTTTTCTCTACCGCTTGCCATTAGCGATAACACGAGGAGCGTATCTTAGTATTTTGAAGCTATACAACAACAATAATATCAAAGCTGTGGTCAAATGCAGAAGTGCAGGTGTTGTTGTGCTTGGTGGCCGACGAAAAAAGTCAAAGCGAGCTAGATGGAGGATTGGAGGGTGGTTTGGACACGACTACTGCTCTACTTGAACCATTTATAGAAGATGGTGAGTGTTTTCTAACTTTA